ACTGCATTCGTCTATTTATGCCCAGCATTTGTATATATAGTTTTGCAATCGGAAAGTCCTGTAACGACTGTCGTATTTTTGAAAAACAAAATTGTATTTCTTTTTCTTTTGTGTAATGAAAAACCCGTCTCATGATGATTTCAAACATACCTACTTCCCTTTCCTCCCAGTCAACAACAAGGACAACCAAGAAGGGGTGCATGAACGCCTCTAAAAGTAACAATAGCAGCTAACAATGGGGTTACAATACACGCAACCAAATATAAAAGACAGAATGCCCTCCGATGACGACGAGACATGTGACCGTGAATTCCGTAGCAGCGACAAAAGTCCTTTTCCATTCAGCGTCACAGTGGATGAGTTGCTACAAGTATCTTCTTGTCAAATCAGTAACTCGGATGAAACAAAAGGGGTTAAAAGTGCGAAGTCGTTAAAAAGATGATTGTTCATTTTCTGGTTATCTGATCAAGATCAATTCTATAATAGGCCTAAAAATAATGCTAAACCTGTATATAAAGTTGAAAGCACACGATGTTGCAAGGTAAAATTTGCACAAGATGCCAAGTATGCATTCTGCGCTTGGAGTTCTGTTCTTGTACTTGGCTTTAGGTAAGTTTAAAACTTTAATCCTGTAGGTTTTTCACTTAACAACAGAAATAGTCTGCCTCACTAATGACTTTTATTATCAAACTTACTTTTTATATTATAAGCAACAAATGACTAGAACGTATTGAAAGATAAACTTTTTTGTAAACACATTCCATATCATCAGTATATAATTCAAAATCCTATCCAGTGTAACATGACAAAAGTTAAAATATTATAATTGAAGTCACCTGAAGACACGAGCCGACTCGGTTGACACAAGTGTGTGATCGGATAGTACAGCGGTATGCGCGCTTTGCTCTACTAAAGTCGGACATTCGGGGTTCGATACCCCGTTCGGACGTGAAAGGTACAGGGTGTCGGGCATGGTTTTCACGCACATTTAGACTCCTTGCGTGCTATTTGGTTCTAGCGATTAATTATACACATTTTTTTTAAACAGTGAACATGGTGTCTGCCACGACTGGCCACAGTGGAGATGGCACTTGTGACATAATGACGGACCGTGTTGAACAGGAAAATGACACGTATGTTGGGGAAAGTAAGTTAAAAAAGGACAAGTATTTTGTTATTCAACTGGTAGTCATACTTCCAATAACAAAATGTTATTACAACTATCATAAGCTTCACTATTCTGGGACAATAAAGACTTTGGTAGATCTTACTCTAGGTTTATTATCGTAACACTTATTTGACGCTAATGCTTGACTTAATCTAACTGTTTAATTAATAGTATTGATATTCCTTTTTAGTTTATAAAAGGTTGATGACTTTGCTGGTGGATTGTTTGGTTCCCAAGGTTTGCTGTAACCTTCACAGTCACAGCTACGGTTGAAGACTTTACTGGTGGATTGTTAGGTTCCCAAGGTTTGCTGTAACCTTCACAGTCACAGCTAAGGTTGAAGACTTTACTGGTGGATTGTTTGGTTCCCAAGTTTTGCTGTAACCTTCACAGTCACAGCAACCTCTTTCACAGCTCTCTTAACATTAACAGTTAAACCACCGGTTTGCCAAGTATCATAATTGATGTCGATTTTATATGGCCGACTCGCACATGTTTCACACCTTTGTGTATATACGTTTCACTGGTCATTTGTCTGATGAAGATGACAGGATAAGTACCTTACTAGTCATCGAAATGTCACACCTAAACAGTGATACATAACCTTTTTTGCAATTCATACTTACCTACAAGGGGAAAATGGTTTAGAAATTTGCCATGTATTTCTTCACATTAACCGTTTAATAACTTACCTGCCCTGTCCTGCATTTAAACTTCTCAAGATATTAACCGTCTAGCGACTGTGTTGCCCCGCATGAAATTTTGATTTTTTGTTGACATCAACCGATTAACCACTTTGTTGTCTGCATGGAATTTGTTTTTTGTTGACATTAAGCGTTTTAACACTGTGTTGCCCTGTACAGTTTCTCTCGATAATAAGCATTTGATTTATACTTGCCTCTGTTTGGCCCTTTATCTCTCATGAAATTAACCCCTTAACTACTGTTGTTTTTCGGTGTATGTCATCTCATTTCTTATATTAAAAAAATCTGTCGATTAGCTGTTCACGTTTTGTAGTATACATGCAATGAAGTATTATGGAACAATTTATAATAATCTGACTTTTTTCTGTGATTTAGGAGCTAGCTGCTGTGGGGAAGTTCTTTTCCAATTCGACACTCAAATGTGCTGTAATGAAACAGTATATGACGGCGTTACGGACCAGGAGTGTTGTGGTAAAGATAGATTCAATGTGAAATACGAAGTGTGTCCTTCAAATAAGAGCATGGTACATGGTGATTTAAAGTTATGTGCCAACGATTATTACCATTCTGGTTTTCGAAAGTGCTGTGGCCGAAATACATACCCCGTTGATGATCACGTTCAGTGTTGTGGGGTTCATGTTCATGACACGAGAACAAGCACGTGCATTGATGGTAAGATAGTCGATCTCTTAATGGAATGCTGTGGCAGTTCAACGATGAATTCTCGTCATCAGCTTTGCTGTGATAGCGGATCCGGTGAATATTTCCCCGTAGATAAGAGCGAGCCGGACGATGACCGATGCTGTAGGACGGACGGTAGGACGTACTCCAGTGTAACACACCACTGTGGTCCAGAAGGGGTAGAGCGGCGACACTTACTCATATCTCTGTGCGGGAGACAGGCGTACGACCCAGTCAGGGACATCTGCTGTGATGGATTTGTGTACAGAGGGGGCAAAACAAGACGACTCAAGTGTCAGGATATCATAAGGTTTAATGTTTATCTTACTAGTCTGGAATAATATGATTTGCTTATTTGCGATGCTATTACGTGAAGAAAGTCACACCATCTCATAAATGCAATAAACAGTGGTTTAATGCGGAGCAAAAGAAAGGCGTATATAGATAAATACATAGCACAATGCTCAAAACTGTAGCCAGTGCAATGAAAGAATGTCACGGATAAAACTAGAATAAATGTACTATTGATAATTTTCTCTTTACATATCTTCTTAGGAAAATACCCCCATCGTAGTTAATATTCAGGAAATTCAGGTAATTAATATAACTTTAAATCAAATCTCCTTGCTTTCATATTTGGTAAGGTGGCAAATAAGTAGTCATATTTTATTTTTTTCTAAAGTCATGTATCACTTACGTATGTCTTTATGCAAATTGCAGTCCTACGCCACACGCCCCTGTTGAAGTGATATCTCATCTTGCCTGTTCTGGCCAGTGTTCAATCTTAACAGTAACGCAAGTACATCAAATATACAGGTGTCCATTCCACGGTAAGTCCTTAAATAATAAAACACTTTTACTATAGAATGGATTAGTTATTACTTTAAAACGGATGTCTATGCCTATATTAATATTTAAAACAAAATCATATTGCTAATTATATCATCTATTCGCTGGGTCCTGTACAGTTACATACTGGTTTGAATAAATGGTTGATTTATTGGGTCCAAGTATCGTTGAGGAGATATTATTGGAATATTCAATTCATGATTGTTAGGTGCACTTTTGCGTTTTTTTTGTGTGGCGAAGTAGGTTAGTCGTATAAAATAAGTACAAAAATTGTATAAATTGTATATCTATGTACTGTAAAGCACTTTAAGAGTGGTTTATGTTAGCTAAATAGGGCGCTATATCA